GTATTTTTGTTGTTTTGTTGTTTTGTTTCTTAAGCTGGCTTATTGTGTAATGGCAGCCAAGAAACTCACTTGTAACACAAAAAACAATAAAAAACAACAACAACAACAACAAGTCGTGAAAAGAGTCTTGTGACTTGCTGTGTGTCTGTGTGTGTGTATGTTGTTTTTTATGCTGTAAAGAAAACATGTTTGTATTTTGTTGTTGTCGTTGTTGTGGTTGTTGTTTGCTGCCTGTGTTGGTGGTAGGAAATCATGTGCAAAGTCATATGACGCTCCGGCTACGTGCTTTGGAGTAATTGCAGCGAGTCATGGCTTATGGATGCCAATGAGAGAGTGTTGGCCATGTTTGGGTGTGTGTGCTCCGCTGTTGTAGTTGTTGTTGTTGTTGTTGTTGCTGTTGTTGTTGCTGGCAGTCATGTGGCTACAGGCTGATGCAAGCGCATTCCCGCATATTTGGCCAGGCAGCATTTGCTGTTGATAATGAAAACGACGCCTCTAGTTAGCCAGGCCAGCGGCCTGCACGCCTCAAAACTCCCAACTGTTTGCATGACTAATGTGAATACCAATGCGCCCACTCACAAACTTAGACAGACCTGAAGCGAACCGCTTCCGCTTACGTTAAGTTTAATAGCGGCGCCCCTAGGGCGCGCATAACGTAATCGCTAATTAGCTATAAGCCTGCTGCTGCAGAGTAAAAACTGCTTGAGAATTACAAGAGCACGCTGTGGCTGCTAGCCGTTTAAATAGCGCACTCAGCCAGCTTCATTCGAGAGCATTTGAGCGATTCAAAACTTCAGCAGACATAAGAAATAATCTGTATGGCTTACAGCAGGATAACAAAAATCTATAAATCTCACAGCAGTTACAGTGCTCAGGGAAAATGAAACGGGTGTGCACTTGAACTGCTTGAGAATTATTAATCAAAGAAAGCAGGTATCGGCTTAGAGGGTTGTTTGCTTGAATTATGTTCTTATTGGGCCATATGTCAAAACTTAATAGTGTTATACATATATATATACATAGCAGCTGTGCATAAATACAGACAAGTTTTCTTACAATTAATATTACTGCTGCGGCTTCTTACAGCTTTCGATGCCTGTCCAGCTCAGCAAACATGCAATTGCTAGCCTCGTAAAACCTTTTAGTTATTGGCACCATATTCAGTTAACATTTGGGTTTCAACATGACCATTAATTATTTTTCATTTCTATAGTTTTTATAGCTTTAGTCCATTTACACATTTGCAAAACATTTGCCACGCCCATTTATCATTTTGTTAGGGCCTGCGTTTTTGCAGTTGTGCCTATTTTTTGCAATTGTTTATGCCCGCTTTAAAGGTATTGCCATTGTTTTTGTTTTGGGTTATTGCTGTTGCTGTTGCATGATAGTTGCCAACTGGCGCCAAGTTTGTTGCCTAAGTCTTTTGTATGTGTTGCGCAAAAGGTTCGCTAGGGAAACGAACAACTGTTAGCTGCCACCATTGCCTTACACAAGTTCCGTTGTTCCCGCTTGGCTCATGATATTTATATATTTATTATTTTCTTATAAATATTCGCAATTAATTCGTGATTAAATTTGCGGCTACCGAACTATCAACACTTGCAAATGAAGCATAAATTGTCTAACTGAATTTAATTAATTTTGTTTATGTATATGTGAGATGCAAACATAGTTGGCCCAGACACAATACGTTAAGATTGCACAACATTCGTTAAGTGTGCTAACAATAACGCAATTAGCCATAATATATTATTAACTCAATCCAAACAAATGATGACGCTGCTGAAGCTGATGCTGATGCTGTGTGCTGCTTATGCAATTGTTGACTATCCGCATGCAATTAATATTATTCACAACTCAACTTATATTGTGTGGAAGAACAAGGCACGCGTTCAAACACATTGTAAATAGAACTTGAGTACTCGTTGGGGATAATCTTCCGTAGGAGTTGGGTGCAATAAAGAATCACTTGACTTGTTTGACTTGTTACGCGGGCCATTTGGTATTTGAGAAACTCACGTGTTTTTCTAATTGCCAGCGCGACTGCGTGATTGAAAGACGAACTGAGCTTTTGTAAAAATGCAAAAACAAAATGCAAATATGCTGCTCATTTGAACTTCAAGTCAATACACTTGCAGAAATGTCAATTAAAGAAATGTGTTCAATATTAAAAATGTGTGCAATTTATTAAAATATGTCCCAAACTGAACTCGGTTTTTGGATCAGTTAACTCGTTATCATCGGCCATTTGGAGCTGTATCATATTTCTTTCAATGAGCTCGATTTTTTTCTTAACATTTCAATTGAAATTTGAGCACTGCATCCGCTTGGCAATCCGGTCACATGATGTATTCAAAAGTCATCAATATATTTAACTTTTTAAATAAATATAAAATATGATAAGTAATACGAGCTGTAGTTTAAAAAGTTCAAGCGCCTTCACTGTGGCCCGATGACGAAATCCTTTAACAGAAATTCCCGCTATAAATATAAAATGTTGCAAGATGCAAAAAAAAACCCAAGTTTAGCTGATAATACATAGCTTGGGTTCCGTTTGCCTAGCGATGGCAAAACAAACACACAAAATACTTTCATTTTTCAACAATTTATGGCGCAGCTCTCAATCGGTTTATTTAATTATCAAATAAGTTGTGCTCACAATTTATAAAAAAAAAAAAAAACTAACAACGGTGTCATAAGCGCCAGCAAAATGTTAAATAACGCATACGCCGCGTATGATGCGCATTTCTATTTGCCTAAGCACAGCTGCTGCGACTGCTCTTTGTTGTTGTTGTAGTTGTAGTAGTTGTTGTTGTAGTTGTTGTGGTTGTTGTAGTTGTTGTAGTTGATTGGAGCCATCAAAGTCAGGTGTGACACAGTTTTTGGCATACTTAAATTTCAAATACCCCATCACCCGCTGCACACACACACACACACACACACACACACACACACACACACACAGATAAAACAAATAAATACAAGCATAAAACAAATGTTCAGCGACACGTCTGTCGCCCTGTCGCTGTCTGTTTGTTTTTACTGTAGCTTTCGCTTTCAGCTAATGCGACGTGACTGCCTTTACGTTGTTATCCATTTGTTTGCTCATGTTCTGCGCCAATGCAGCAAGTATACATATACATATATACATATATATACATAAGTATAAAGAAATAAACAAAAAATAAAGTGCTGTTCGTGCTGTGCAAAATATTTTGTGCCAATTGCATTGGCTCAGGCAGCTGATTCAGCCATCGAAATTGGCGTAGGAATTACATAAAGCAACATTTTCGTGGCAATTGGCTTCATTCGATTTCTGGCATTTCTTTTAACAAGAATTGTGTTGCGTATTGCAGCCTAACGAAACTTTTTAATAAATACATGAACAGCAATCGCGGATCTTAGAAGTATCTGTTGAATCATGAAAGGCGCTAAGTGTAAAAACAAACAAGTTAGTCACCGAAATGCCAGCGAGTATTTAAATTTTTGGATGAATAATATTTTAATGAAATAAAACACACATAGCCTGCAGTCGAATAATAGCACTTCTGCTCAAATATGCACCAAAATTTCGCTAATTATTTGGAGTGCCGCAAAACGAAAGACTGAGGAAACAAACTTGCTCTGTGTACACACAAGCCAGCACTCTTAGCCGCAAACGAGATTAACTCTAAAGAAATCAACCTTGAATACACTGTCTAAATGTACAACAGATTTAACGAAAACAAAAGCAACAATAACAAAAATGTGTACACAAAAACTAATTAAAGCGCACGGCATACTTGAGGAAAACCAGAAAACAAACGAAAACGATAACGAATACGAATATAATAATTATAATGCCTAATCTTATTATACGGAGCCACGTATCGAGCGGTAAACGTCATAATGCTCATTATTGTTAATGTGCCGGATAAGTAGATTGTAGAGGAAGTGCGTCATTTAACAATGGATAGATGGGCATATGAATGAGCTCATTAGGCGCTACGATTGACAGCTCCTCGGTTGAGTGGGACGCCCACAATAGGTTGCAATTTTGAACATTGCACAATTTAGCGTAGAAATCCGCTCAAGCATGTCGAATTGCCAAATTGATGTTTGTCACAACAAAAGACCAGCAAAATGCCAAGAAAAAAATTAAAACAAAAGCTTCAATATTAATGTCAAAGACAACAACAGAAACCGCAACACGTGAGGCAGCCGAAAAAAAAAGAAACTATTGAGAATAACCTAATGACATACACAATAAAAATAAATAAAATAATAATAATAGCTACCATGGCAAATGCTCGTTTACTCGTTTCTCGTTGACTGATCAGCCTTATTCTTTGGGGCAGTCCCAGAGTCGCAGCATTCATTCATAATTTGAAATTGATGAGATTGAGGGCTAAACTGCATCCGGTTGGGCTGAGATGTTCAATCTTTAGTTATTCGCTTCATGCATGCTGCTTGGCTAATTGGCCATGTGAGCAAACGGTGTCGATGTGAAAAGCTGCGCTCAATTAAAAAAGCTGGGAAATACAGTTGGAAAATGCCAGTTTAGCGATGTGAAGGCATCATAACGGGGCTAGCCTGAAATTAATAGCTCGTGTGGCAGCAGATGTTCGATTAAAATTGAATGACTCAAACGTGTTGCATATATTGCAGAAAGTCGAATAAATTTTAGAAGCGTAATTCCCTCCGAAATTTCTTAAGATGGTTCATTAAAATACATTTCCTGCAAACCTGTTAACTTAACATTGAGCTTACATGTTAATTACAGCGAGCACCAATTATTTTGTTTGTATTGGCAACTCCTTTCGTACATTCAATAGTTATGTTATCGCTGGTCGATTAAAAGAAATTTCAGGTAGTCAAGTTTGGCCACACTTACAAAGAAAATGGCGTCTTTGCAAAGCGAGGCTTTCCAATAGGAAGAAAAGTTAGCGTAAAAGTGAATTTGAATGCTTTCCAATTAAAAACAATGTAACTAATCAGCCTTAATTCTCTTGCACTTACAGGTGCCTTTGCGCTCCCAGCTTCTCGCTACGCATACCGGAGGATCTCGAGAATAGCGCCATCAATGCGCTGCGCTCGGAACGTGCACGATCTGTACAGCCCTGCGGCCAGGTTGGTGAAGCCAGCGCCGCCGATGATTATGATGTTTGCCCGCCGAGCAAGTACCGCCAGCCCACCGCCGAGTGTAACAATGTGTCGCATCGCAAGTGGGGCGCACGTGGCGATGTCTTCCAGCGTCTACTTCAAACGGACTATGCCGATGGCGTTAGCCAGCCACGCAGCTCGCGTGGCACACACGCCCTGCCCGACGCCGAGCTGGTGATCGAGCAGTTGCAGCGTCATGTGGAGAGCGAGCTGCGCCACGATCACATTACTGCCATGCTACCAGCCTGGGGCCAGCTGCTGGCCAACGATCTGTACGAGGTGGGCCAGCTGCCCATCAGCGGCAAGTGCTGTCAGCGTGAGGCCGGCGGCATCAAGGATCCCAGCGAGCTGCAGCAGTGCTTTGTGCGCGCCGGTGCCGACTGCAAGGAGTACAAACGCTCTGCTCCCGGTTTTGATGCGGAGGTGTGCCAGAAACGTAAGTGCCTTCCACTAAACACATCCTTTACCATTTGATAACCCACATTTTTCGTCTCATTCAACAGATGTGCGCGAGCAGATGAACATTGCATCTGCTTATATTGATGGTTCCGGCTTGTATGGCTCAACCCGCCATGAATTCGACCAGCTGCGTACATATATCAGCGGCGGTGTCAAGGTTGAGTCCTGTCGCTATTGTCAAGTGTCTGGTGCGACGGGTGCATTGCATCGTGCCCTGCTGCAGCAGCACAACAACATTGGTGAGCAGTTGGCGCACATCAATCCGGACTGGTCCGAGGAGGATGTCTTCCTGGAGTCTAGGCGCATTATAACCGCGACCATACAGCATATTACCTACAACGAATTCTTGCCATTGGTATTGGGTCAAGAGACAACGGCAAAGGAATCGCTAAGACTGACCGCCGAGAAGCATTCCTCCAACTACTCCAGCTCCATACGCGCTGGCATTTACAATGAGTTTGCGACCAGCGCCATGCCCGCCTTCTGGAGCATGTATCCACCTGAGATGCTTTCCCAAAAGAGTTCCGCCCATGAGCTGCTCTCGATTGCAGCGCTGCAAAAGTCTCTGGTGCCCAGTCAGACAAACGATGAGGGCTGGTCCGAGCTGGCGCTGGCCGTGCATCGTGGACGCGATCACGGCATTGCCTCCTACGTGCATGCCCTGGACATTTGCGCACGTCGTTTCGACCAGAACGGCGCTGCAGCCAATGTGACCTTCGATAATCTGGCACAGCTCACCAACATTCCCGACGAGCATGTGACCAGTTTGCGTGACATCTATCAGTGAGTTTTCCTTTCATAATTAGCGAATCGCGCAGCTAATCCTTGCTCTTACAGAAACGCTGAGGATATTGATTTGCTGGTGGGCGCCATGCTGGAGGATCCCGCGGTGGGCGCTCTTTTTGGACCCACCATCACCTGTCTGCTAACCACACAGTTTGAGTTGCTGAAGCAAACCGATCGCTTCTGGTATGAGAACGAGATACCGCCCTCATCCTTCAGTCTGGAACAGCTGAAGAGCATACGCCAAACAACGCTGTCGGGTCTGCTTTGCGGCTCGCATCAGGTCAACACAGCCCAGTCCAAGGCTTTCATACGCGAAGATAACTATCTGTAAGTGCATGCAACATATGCTTCAGCTTCAGCTCTAACACATCCTCCCTAGAAACTCCGTTTTGGACTGCACACAGCTGCCCAAGTTTGATTTGCGACCCTGGAAAGTGAATGCCGAGGAGGAGATACACTTGGAGCACGTCGAAGTGGAGCCCGACACCAAGGAGGCCATTAAAGAGCTTAGCCCCGAGCTGATCGAGGCGGCTGTAGAGCGTGCCAAGCAGGAACTGGAAGAGCGCAAGCGTTTCGAATACGAAGTGTGGCGTGCACGTAAGTAGAGTCGACATATGCCAGTTATAAGAACGTTTCTTAACATTTCTCCATCTTTGCAGAGGGCGGCATTAGCGCACGCTCGCCCGATGGCACCGCTGCTTCCTTCAGCAAGGCCAACTTGGCTGCGCTGAGCCTGGCCAATTCGTCGCTTATTTTTGAGCTAGCTTCCAATGAGATTGTCAAGTCGCTCAATAGCATTACGCGTCGCAAGCGTCAGATCTTCAATCCCAATCAGAATGCCTTCAATCGCAACGAGCTGACTGATACGCTGCAAACCGTGGACATTAGCGCTTTGATTGGTGGCAATCAGCAGCCGCTGGAGCAATGCCCGGAGCCAACACAGCAATGTGATGCCAATTCGCCATTCCGCACGCTCTCCGGACGTTGCAATAATCTGCGCAATCCGAACTGGGGCAAATCGTTGACCACCTTCTCGCGTCTATTGCCCGCCCAGTATGAGGACGGTATCTCGGCACCGAGGGTAACTGGCGTCACTGGAACACCGCTGCCCAATCCGCGCACCATTTCGACTACAATTCATCCGGATATATCCAATTTGCACACACGCTACTCGCTGATGGTGATGCAGTTTGCACAGTTTGTGGATCACGATTTGACATTGACGCCCATTCACAAGGGTTTCCATGAGTCCATACCCAGCTGTCGGCCCTGCAACTCACGCCAGACCGTGCATCCCGAGTGCAACCCGTTCCCGGTGCCCGCGGGCGATTTCTTCTATCCCGAGGTGAATGTCACGAGCGGCGATCGTTTGTGCTTCCCCTCGATGAGATCGCTGCCAGGCCAGCAGTCGCTTGGCCCGCGTGACCAGATCAATCAGAACACTCACTTCCTGGATGCCTCGATGGTGTACGGCGAGAACGTCTGCCTGTCGAATAAGCTCCGTGGCTTCTCGGGCCGTATGAACAGCACTGTGCATCCTGTGCGCGGCAAGGAGCTGCTGCCGTTGAGTGCTACCCATCCCGAGTGCAAATCTCGCAACGGACTCTGCTTTATTGCTGGCGATGATCGCGCCTCCGAGCAGCCAGGCTTGACTGCTATTCACACGGCCTTCCTGCGCGAACACAATCGTTTGGTTGAGGGTCTGCGCGGTGTCAATCCCCACTGGAATGGCGAGCAGCTGTATCATCATGCCCGTCGCATTGTCAGCGCCCAGGTGCAGCATACCGTCTTCAATGAGTTCCTGCCCCGCATTCTCAGCTGGAACGCTGTCAATTTGTATGGCCTGAAGTTGCTGCCACAGGGCTACTACAAGGACTACAATCCGTCCTGCAGTCCAATTGTGTTCAATGAATTCGCTGCCGCTGCCTTCCGCATTGGTCACTCGCTGCTGCGTCCACATATTCCACGGCTGAGCATTCAGCATCAGCCCGTGGATCCTCCACTGCTGCTGCGCGATGGCTTCTTCCGCATGGATGTGCTGCTCCAGCCTGGTATTATTGATGAGATACTTCGTGGTCTGGTGGCTACGCCCATGGAAACTCTAGATCAGTTCATCACGGGCGAGGTGACGAATCATTTGTTTGAGGATCGTAAGATACCCTTCTCCGGCATTGATCTGATTGCTCTTAACATCCAGCGTGGTAAGTTAATGGCTTTTAACCCACTTAGATGTCCGCCTCTAATGTCCTGCTTATCGTTTACAGCTCGTGATCATGGCATTCCTTCGTACAACAACTACCGCGCTCTGTGCAACCTAAAGCGTGCCAGCACCTGGAGCGATCTGAGCCGCGAAATACCCACCGAAGTAATTAATCGCTTCCAAAAGGTCTATGCCAGCGTTGACGACATTGATCTATTCCCCGGCGCCATGACGGAGCGTCCGCTACAGGGTGGCCTCGTCGGACCAACGCTGGCCTGCATCATTGGCATTCAGTTCAGGCAGCTGCGTAAATGCGATCGCTTCTGGTATGAAAATCAGAATCCCGAGGTTAAATTCACCGAGGCTCAGCTGGCTGAGTTGCGCAAGGTAACACTCGCCAAGATTGTCTGTGAGAATCTGGAGATTCAGGGTGATATGCAGCGTGCTGCCTTCGATTTGCCCAGCAACTTCCTGTAAGCCGCACAGTAAATACTCCTTTGATAGCCAATGCTAATTCCATTGTTCCCACAGTAATCCTCGTGTGCCCTGCCAGTCCATGCCACAAATCGATTTGAATGCCTGGCGCGAGAATGTTCAGGGCTGCCAAATTGGCAATCGCAATGTGCGCGTTGGCGAATCTGCCTTCCCGTCGCCCTGCACCAGTTGCGTGTGCTCCGCCGAAGGCGTAAGTTATACAAATAACCTACACAACAGAGTATCAGCTAAATATTAGCCCTCTCTCTCTCTCTCTCGATTACAGCCCCAGTGCGCTTCATTGCGCATCACCGACTGCGGCCAGCTGATTCGCCAGTGGCCCAAGGAGGCCATTTTGCGGGATGAGGTGTGCAACTCGCAGTGCGGCATCTATTTGACCGGCCAGCAGGCAGCAGGTTTCAGTCCACAGCAGCGTCAGGGTCATGCTCCCTCGCGTGTCACTCGCTCGCGCAATCAGAACCTATTCAAGTTTCCTGACTTGACGCCGTTCATCGCATCCCTGTAGAAAGGGCAACCCGAGAAAGCAGGCTTTCGTACATGTTTTGTAAATAACTATTGCGTTCTTTACATTAGTAACTTTTTTTGTTCGCTTATCTGAAGACTTTTCCAATGCATCTACCCCTAAACTATACTTACTCTAACTGTTCTATGCGGCATTAACTCGTAGTGCCCATCAAACTAGGAAGAAACCAACAAATTGCATTACTCGCGTATCTTCGCGGATGAAAATTCTTGTTTCGGCACCACCAAAATAAGTGATTCTATTGTTAGTTAAGCGACAACTAATTAATTAGCATTTTTATATATGTATGTAATGTATTTTTTACCTAAAACCCTATGAATGTCAATTATATGTACCTAATAAACAAACAATTAAAACAATATATTTAAATGACTATCAATTTCAACCGTCTCTATTCGTTGCTTTCCTGTTAGTTTAGCAACAACGAATTACAACTGAAAATGGCTGGGAACAAATATAAATTTCAACGAAAAAGGTAAACAGCCATATTACCAGGCGAACAGAAATCACAGTAGGTGTCTATTTGATTTTAAGCAGCGACATTTTTTCTTCAAGCAAGCAGCGACATTTTTTCTTCAAGCAAGCAGCGAATTCACAAATCTACACAATGCAATATGTATACAGACGAAGTAATAGGCGAACAGAATGTAAAGCAAGTTGACATGTTAAAAATAATAGTTATGGCAGCGGGGGCTGCGGGGACAAACGTCGGGCACTGTTTGAGTAGGCCGCCGCAGATGAGCAGGTAGCAAATCGCAATATGTAAACAGACGAAATACCAGGCGAACAGAATTTTAAGGCAGCCGACAGAAGTGAATTTAAGCTGGCAATGTTGTTGCTGTCAACAGTCGAATGCTATTGGACGATGCCCTTATTAGCGTCTGTCTCCCTCACACTGCAGTTCTGCCACTCATCAGAATGAGATCGCGTAAATGCAGTTATCAAAGTATATTTGGCAAGCTGCGTGTGCAGAGCAGCAGCCATCATTAATGTGCCGTAACAAAAATGTGGAGGGAGACAGTAGCGTCCGTTGTGTTAGTCATGTCGACGTTCTACTTGAGCACTGTCAGCTGGACAAAATAGAAACAATAATTTCACATACATATGTTTAAATTTGTGTTAATTCTGTTTTTTTAGTTAACACTTATGTAAAGTCATAAATAATGTTCTATTGTAGTTAATGATGAAACGGAAAAGTATCATCTGTTTGAGCACCAGCCGCACCAGACACGCAGGCAGACGAAATACCAGGCAAACAAAATTCTAAGGCAGCTGATAAAAGTTGATTAAAGCTGGCATTATTGTTGTTGTTGTTCCTCATCGACTGCGGTTGGAGGAATCGCACGCGAAAGCAAGGCAAGTCAACAAGTGAACAGAATGAAAAGCAGGTACCCGAACTACTTGAGTAAACGAAGGTAAGCAAAAGCATGTTTTGTCTCGTTCCCGCTGCAGTTGGGTCCACTTTTAGAAAGAGAACGCGTAAATGCAGTTATCAAAATATATTTGGCATGTTGTGTGTGCAGAGCAGCCATAATTAATGTGCCGTTCCATGAAGTTGGGAATTAGCGTACAGTGGCGTCCCTTGTCATAGACATACCGACTTTTGTTTGAGCACTGTCACGAACTGAAATAGAAGCAAAAATTTAATAATTGTTTCAATTCATAGTCACAGCCATACAATATTATACAAATTTTCTAGTTGGATTTTGTTAAATAAACTTTTAAGTGAAGTCTCTTGTTATGTTTTTAACGTTGTCGTAAATTGTTTAAATAATTGTTTACTTTATTTAGTTTTGCCTTTTGAACGTGGTTCCATTATAGCAAATGTAATTTGTGTATTTTAGATAAGATCTCTATAATGCCGACAATAAATAACAAAACTCACAAAGTACGATTAAATCTACCGAGGGGTTTACTATGCATATATGTATGTACTTTATAATATATATATGTATATATCTTTAATTTAACACATAGCTACGTTAGACACAGACCGTTAGACGTGCTCTAAGTTTAACGCAGGTGTTTAATGCTTTTATTAAGCGAAAATGAACAAAACTTTAAATTGATTTAACTTTTGCCATTTTGTGGTCTTTAGTCAGAAACATATACACACATGTGTGTATCGTATATATTATATATATATATTATTATCGCATATCGTTTAAAATAGTTTAATTACATTTATTTAAATTCGAATAGAGCGCACAGACACAAAAAATACATAGCGCTTAGTATTTGTTTTAAGTTCTTGTTTGGGTTGATGTTTAAGCTTTTAAATGTTGTTGCTTGTTTATTGTTTAATAGGTTTAAGCTGTTGTGCTACTTGTGCTAACCACAGATAATTCAACTAATTGCCGCGAACTGCATCTGACAAATAGGCATGCAAAATACAATACTTTTCATGTGTTGTTGCTGCTGTTGTTGTTGCAGTTGTTGTCGTAAAAACAACAATAACAACAATAACAACAACAACAGCGAACAGCACCTAGAACAATTAACTAATTTGCCTTTGCCTTTGTTAAATCTTTTTGTAATTTTTTTTTTTTTTTTTTTGGTAAACATTGTGCTTAAGTTTCTAGAGAATTTGACTTCTTTGCTTTTAGTTTCTTTTCATATTTATCATATTTATATATATATAGTATAGCATATAGCATATGTTTGCACTAAACTAAAATTGAAGTTAAACACACAGCGTAGAGTGTCAAAATTATACGTAAGCATAACGTTTACACACTCGTATATTTGTATATCTTTATGTATATATATATAGTTGTTTATATAGTTTATAGGAATCGGAATCTGGCTAATTTACGTTTTATGTTCAAATTGCCTGTGCCACAATTTGCTTATGCGTATGGTATGTGGTTTTATATGTTTTAATCTTTCTATTAATTGTATTATTATTGTTAGGTTTACGATAGATACTGTTGCTCAAATGTTGCGATTACAATTTGTTGATATATACAGAAAATGGGCGTGAGAAATGTCGTCTCCTATGTACAAATAATAATTCTTTGAATGACAGTCAAAGTTTGCGCTTATTTATCCGCTGCCAAAGCGGCGGGCAATCCACAATTCTGCGTCTCCGAGTGGCGACGCGTCAGCAATGGTTGCTGCTGCTGCTGCTGCTGCTGCTGGGATGGCAACTGTTGCTTCTGTGGATAGCTGTAGGGCAGCCCGTGACCATTGCTGAACGGCAGCCCATCGAGTTGGCCAAGTTTGCCCACAATTTTTGGTATTTTATCACTGTCCGTGCCCGTGCCAATTAGGCCAATTAGGCCGCTGCCGCCAATGCTGGCGCTGCCAATGCCACCGCCAATAATGTGCTGCTGATGATTCTGATGATGATGATGATGGTGATGTTGATGTTGATGTTGATGGTGATGATGTTGGTGATGATTGTGATTATGCTGATGGCTGATGGCCGGCGTGCTTTTGCATAGCGCCACATCCCTGTTGCAACTGCCGCCGTTCAGCTCCTGTGCGCCCTTCAGCGAGCTCGTCTTGCGGACGGTGCGTGCCTGGTCGCAGCTCCGGCAGCGTGGCTTTGCCGTTGTCTTGCCCTGGCTGAGCGCCTGCAGATTGGCGGCGACCAGCTGTGCCTGCAGCGTCTTGGAAGGCGAAACGGGCGTGCTGTCATCCTCGCCAGTTGGTGGCGGCGTGGACAGGCGGCTCGAGACGGTGGAGGAGCTGCTCGAGGACAGGCAGCTGCTGCTGCGACTGCTGCTGCAGCTGCTGCTGCTGTTGGCAGCGACATAGCCATTATCCGTCTGTGCCGCATCAGCATTCGTTGCAGTGCCATCATCATCATCATCATCATCATCATCATCATCATCATCTGCTTCGTCTGCATTATCTGCATCACTGGGCGGGTTGCTGCTGGGACGAGAAGCGATGGCAATGTCGTTAGTAGTTGCGCTGCTTTTGGCCACATTCAGCCCATTTACGCTTGCTTCATCGGCCACATCCGCATATTCATCGGCCAACTTATCCTCAGTTAATGCCAGCTGGCTGTCACCATTCGCTATCACAATTTGCTGCTGTTCCCGCTGCTGCTCTTGATCCTGACTAGTTTTGGTTTTTACATCGTCGGCCATGTCAATCCAATGGCCGCGATTATCACGCACGCCCTCAACGAGCGGTTCCAGCTTTTCCGAGAGCTTTGCAAAGGCCTGAAGATTTGTTATTAATTTATTAATAATTTGCAATTAAATGCCGATTAAATGTAAGGCTGACAACTCACCTCATAGATGGGCAGGCATATGGAATCAATAAAGTTCACCTGCATCATGGGCAGCTCATCTTCCTTCTCGCGATTCATGATATCCTGTTGAAGATGGAGAGCATATTAATATTTAGAAAATATCTCAATTTGTGTTGACTGAATTTTAAGATTGCAAACTGGAAGCGAAAGCTGAAGCCTATCAGGCGAAAAGTCGCCGAACCGACTCGAGAATCTTAAAGAAGTTTTCCAGTTCTAATCGTTTCTAAAATAGCACTCACAATGGGCGTTATGTTTAGCTCCTGTTTCTCCATGTCGCCCTGTTCGAAGAACTCCGAGCTAACCAAATCGGCGACACGCTTCTCAATCTCCCACGGCTTGGTTATGGCCGACAAATCACAGACAGTCATGCTCATGGCACGCAGCAAGGCGCGCGGCTCCTCGTCAACCCAATAGCTCAATGGCTCCTGCACGCTCTCCAGGAACGGGCCACGTTTCCTGTTCAAGATGGTATTAGTAAAGAGATAGGAATCTGAATTGGGTTGAACTCACTTGAAATAGACAGCCAGATCCGTGGACAGAATAGCATCCTCGAGCACGCGTATAACTCGACAATAGTCATCAGACGACAGATTGGCCAGAATCTGATTGCCGGGACTGTTGAGTATCATCAAGCACTGATCGAAATGATGATGCTCCATGGTGGATGTGGAGTAGAGCTGCGCCAGCGGCGAGGAGGCTCTGCAATAGAACAAATGAAGAGCATTACAAATGCAATCACATTGTAATGCATTTAATGTGGGCAACACACTTGATCTGGAAGGAGTTGTTGGTCCCCCGATGATCGAGATCGTGGCACAGGCAGCCAATAATCAAGGCCAGGCATTCGATTTCGCCAAAGATCTTCCACCACTGCGTGGTCTAGATATAATTAACAATTGATTAATTGAATTCATAAGGAACAGTCTCTCTTTGCGATTCTCACACTCACGGTTAAAATGGCAAACATCATTTGGGCCACATTGAAGGCGTGTCGCCAATTGTGATAGGTCACATTGCGATAGTTCTTCTTTACGCTCAGCAGCCAACGGCAGAGCACCTCGTAATCGATATGAAAACGCTCCACGAAATCGAGATCCAGAAACATGCGCAAACAGGCCTACAAATTGGAGAGGGCATTAGATAAGTGCATAGACTTTTGAGTGTGCTACAAGTTTTACCTTTAGCGTATCATCGTCCTCGAAGTGAATGTCATCAAATTTGAAATCATGCAGACGAAAATGTACAGCAGAGGGCACACGCAGGCGCTGTAAAGAGATGTGAAAGGTGACAATGGAAATGATTAAATTTCTATTTAGCAGTTATCGATAGGTTTGTCTTTCAGTAATAAGGTTTAGTTGATACCCTGGAAAATGGTAAGTAGGCTGCTTTTCGAGTTTTACTCTAGCCTCAAATCTGATGTAGAGTATGAAGTCTTTTTGGTGAAATTAAGTAAATATTCAGCTTTTACTTTAGTTAGCGGGAAGAATTGAATTTAAAATTTACAAATTTGTAAATTTTTTTATCAAGATACTTAATTTTATTTTAAGTGCGCTTTAATCCTTAAAACCCTAACTTTTAGTTGGAACAGCCCAAACGGAAGCTGAAGGAAATAAAACACACACGGCACTGTCCACCCAGCTGCTGTCAGGAAATGTTAATTGATGTCCACACAGCAGCTCATGATATACTCCCGGTTCGGCAAACACGCTGCCGGAACTGGCAAAGAAGCTGCAGAAAAGGGTTTTTTTTGCGCTTTTGCTTCTTGCGCAATGGCATAATCGCCGGGTCTCTTCGGTAAAAGCAATGCGCAAAGAATGGCATAATTTTAATTAAAATTAATAACCCCCAGCATCAGCGTCGTTCACGTTCACGTCGACGTCGACGTCGACGGTTGACAAGGCGACAGACGGCCATAATTTTAGCCAACATAATTACAGAAAGTGTGTGTTTGCAGGGCGAGGAGGAAGAGTGTGAGGCAAGGGGAGCGGGGAAGAGGGGAGGTCGGCGGCAACAGGCAAGCGACAAGAGACAATACACAAAGACAAACAGAGAGACAGATGCGAAAACTTGAACCAGCCCCAAAGTCTATGGGCTTATAGATAAAGAAGAATGGAGGTGGGGAGGAAAAGGGGGCGAGGGGGTGGGGGCAGCACGGGTAGCGGGTGTTAAAGTAGGGACTAGTATAACAAATGCTCTTAGCCAGTGTGCGAAAGTTTCTTTTTGTCATACTTGTGCGAACAAACTAATTACAACTGTCAACACGTTGGGCCCCAAACGGGTACGCCAAGGGTTGAGTGCGAGAGGTGGAGAGGGCAGGAGGAGTAGGGACGACTAAGTGAGCGACTGCGGGGACAGGTTGTTGCTGCTGTTGCTGCTGTTTCTGCTGCTGTCACGCAGAAATAATAAAAACATGGAAACAGAAAAACAGACGGGCCAAGCAACAAGAATTTATGGACTGGCATAAAAATGAGTCCAATAAATGG